CTTCAGCAGAAAGTTTGGTCTAGCCCAACATATTCCTAGAATACGGAAGACATTTTTTTTTTCTGAGTTATTTGCTATATCAAGATCTTTTAGCAGAGTTCAAATACAAATTTAATTATGCTTTTGTTAATAGTTTTCTGATTCTTTTTTTTCTCTGACTTCTTTGTTGAGCAATCCAAAGTAATTGCTTTTTCACTTTTTGTTCTTGCTTCTTCCACACTGAGAACCTCTTTAGTACTCCCCTTCTTAATTTCTCCTTGTGCTAGTCTTGTTAACCAACACATGTGGCTCAGTGTAAATATCTTAAAAGCACAATATCTTCTAGAAGACTTAGAGAACAATTGCTACTTAGATCAAACATATTGATCATTGCATACGTCATAGAAGCTATAGTATAATCAAATTAGACCAGTTAACAAGAGATAATAGGGAATAACCCTTACCCAGACCTGCCCTATGATGGTATCAAGCTATTTTTCCCCTTTTAAATTTTATTCTTTAATTCTTCTATATGTAGGTAAAGAAAGATTTATCATTTATTGCTATTAAAAGTTGCTTTGATAATATACTTTTAAAAAATATGATAAGTGATACTAGTGAAGGAAATCGAAGAGCTCTAGAACAATTTTTAAGAGTGAGTTCAGCAGCACCACAGCATAGAGTCATGTAACCTGTGCACTAGAGTTTGCTATTTACATCAAAGTCCACAACCTAAAAGGGAGCCCTGGACTAAGGTGAATTTGAGATAATCTTTAATGAGTGGCTGTCTAGTGTCAAGGGCTAGATTTTACTATTTAAATGCTAGCAAATAGTTTTCTCTGTAATTGATGTTATCCTTTTTTTTTTTTTTTTTTTTTGAGTTGAAGTCTCATTCTGTCACCCAGACTGGAGTGCAGTGGCCGTTCCGGGCCACCGCAGCCTCGCCTGCTGGGCTCCAGCGATCTTTCTGCCTCAACCTTCTGAGTAGCTGGAATTACAGGCACCCGCTACCATGCCCTGCTAATTTTTTGATTTATTGTAGAGATGAGGTCTTGCCTGCCCAGGCGGGTCTCGAACCTGCGGGCTCAGGCAATCCACTCACCTCAGCCTCCCAAAGGCGCGGGATTACAGGCTGAGCCACCGAGCCCGGCTAATTGATGTTATCTTACTAGCCATCTTAGTACCTTAAAATTTTGTTAAGAACCAGTAGCTGTTCAAATTATCCTTGTTGATGACCTAGATAGCATTGAGCTAACCTAGATATCACTAGAAGATTAATAAACGTTCTAGCTGAACAAGCGGAAAATGGCTTTTATGTCCAATGAGTAAAGGTTTCAAAATTCACAGATTTCCCTCTTTAGTCAATGCTCTTAGAGACCTTATGACCTAACAGGACAGCCTCAGTTTATGCAGAAGGCAACAGTAGCTAGATTATTTCAAATACCATAAAACTTCTATTAACCTTGAGGAAACGTATTCCAGACTTGACAACTGAAAGTAATCCTTTCAGTGATGCCAGTCTATAGAAAGTTCCTGATCTATATTCCTTTCTTTTGTTGTTGTTAAGTTAGAGTCTTACTCCGTCGCCCAGACTGGAGTACAGTGGCACACCCACGGCCACCCCAGCGTCGACCTCTTGGGTTTAGGCGATCCTTCCACCTCAGCATTCCAAGTAGCCAGAACTACAGGCGCATGCTACCACACCCGGCTATTTTTTAAAATTTTATTGTAGAGAGGAGGTCTCGCCAAGTTGCCCAGGCTGTTCTCCAACCCATGGGCTCAGGCAATCCCCTCACCCTGGCCTCCCAAATTGCTGGGATTACAGGCCTGAGCCACCGTGCTCAGCCTATATTCCTTTTTTAAGATGATTGCTGGAATCATCTATCATTCTGGTCTTTCCTATCCTCGTTTGGGGGTTCAGTACATTCTCTCTTCAATGAAAAGGCATGGTTTATTTTGATCAGAGGCCCAAGTCATAGCATACAATAATTAGTCACTGTGTATACTAATTTTTAACTTTGTATCTTGTACGCCACTTAGGTCCTGTCCTATAAGTTGGCAAAGCTCAAGAATGAGTTTTCTAAAATTCTGAAATCGTATAATAGCATTTTGAATTTCTTGATTTCTTTTGCCTGATGGACTCAAAACATCTTACTTACAGGAAGAGAGGCTGGCATTGTGGCCTGGTAGAAAGAATAGGAGTTCTCCCAAATAGCCAAGTGACCTTGACCCATCCCGTAGAGCATGCTGGGCCTCTTTCTTCATCTGTAGAATGAGAGTTTGAGGCTAGGTCATCTCTGAGTTCCTTTCTAGAAATAAACTGCTCTGATAATTTTCCCAGAGCTGAACTTAGATATTTGTGCATTAAATCTTCTTAGTTGATTCTACCAATTCCTGGTAGAGTCAAGTCTAAGGCATTTGTATAGGATAGTTTCTTGTAGAACTTTAATTCACTAAGCAATGGCTTTTTCTTTTTTTTTAAGAGTTATGCTTTTGGAGAGGGAACAGAAGCAGAAACTTTAAAAAATATACTAATTTTTAAACTTTTTATTGAAGTTTTTATGACATACATATAAGTGTACTACTCAATGAATTTCACAAACTTAACACACCCAGGTAACTGGCACACAGACCATTATCTGTACCTCAGAAGTCCCCTTGTGCCTACTTCTAATATTATTATAACTCTTTCTCTTCCAAGGATAGCTACTCTCCTGACTTCTCACTCCATTGATTAGTTTTGCCTGCTTTTGTTTCTCATGAATAGAATAATGTACAATATGCATTCTTTTATGTCTGTTTTCCTTGGCTAACATTATATTTCTGAGAGTCAAGATTGATGCATGTAGCTGTAACAGACACTTAAATTTTTCCTCCAGAGAGACATTGATACATCATTGCACAACAATATTAACATTCTCATTTTAGTGACTCATTTGAGAAGATCAATAATATGCCATTATGAACAGACAAAGGATAAAAGTGTGGAAGAGGGGGGTCAAGTCAGAGGCTTTTTATAATTTATTAACATATTCCATCATTAATATATAATATAATTTATTAATTTAAAATATGTAAGCCCTCTTTTGAAGAAGAATTTACCTCCTGGTCTAAGACATTATCACATCATGCCAAAGACTCACTCTCTTGGTACTGGTTATGGCTATTAGATGAAAGTATCCTTAAAAAGTGCCAGCTTTATCTTGAGACCAAAATTGTGGTTTATTTATCCCCTTCTTTCCATGCTCCCAACCCCTTAATCCCTACACTACCTCACCCTGCACATACTAGGTGCAAAATAGATATTTGTTGAATGAATGAATGGATGAATGAAGCATATAGCTAATATTTATAGTGCATTCACAGTGCCAGCCACTGTGCAAAGATTTCTTGTTTACTTACCACAGCAACACTATCAGGTTGATGCTGTTATCACAGCTTGCTAGATGGGAAAACTTGACCACTGAAAATAACTTGTCCAAAGTAATTCAGACATTATGTGGTAGAGCTGGGACCTTGGGACCTTTGAACTCACGGTGTTTAGTCTTCACCACTATGCATGCACACTCTATCTCAGTCTTGCAGAGGCTGCAGAGGTGGCTGGGCTCATGCATACCCTTGGCCAGGAGCTCTACTAGCTGAGGACACACAGTCTGGTTTGTCCCAACCACTTCCCTCTTGCTGTGTAGAGTGAGCCTGCCTGTGCCTCTCTGCTTGTGCCTGAACCCATGAATGGGTTGTGTTTCTACCTGGCTCCTTCCTTCCTCAACACCCCATGCTAGCCTCCGCTCCTAGTGCTGACGGCCAGTCATGGGGTTATGTTGGCCAGCTCTTGGACATGAGAGGATTAGACACAATCTTGCCAATTGCGTTTCTGCACACTAAGTTCTCTCCTAGCCCCTGTCCCACCTCTATCACGTGTTGTCTAGTTAACTCCTATACAGCCCATCTGGTACATATTGACCTTTAATGAATATTTCTTGAGTGAATAAATAAATGAACAGCAAGCGAGATCTTTACATTTAGTTCTGATACAAACTTTGCTTTTAAAAAAAATGTTGAGTCTTTGCCCTCTTGACTACTAAAAATGCAAGTAATGATGATAAAATAATATGTAATAAAGAGGAAATGCAACATGTTTATCCTATTACAGTATACGACATAAACAGGAACTGGACATGGTAACGTGCATCTGTAGTCCCAGCTGTTCGGGAGGCTGAAGCCAGAGCATTGCTTGAACTCAGGAGTTCTAAGCTGCAGTGTGCTATGATCATACCTATGAATAACCACTGTCATTTCAGCCTGGGCAACATAGCAAGACCTCTTTCAATTTTTTTTTAGTTGAAGTCTCACTCTTGTCACCCAGGCTGGAGTGCAGTGGCATACTCACAGCCATCATAGCTTGGACCTGCTAGGCTTAGGCAATCCTTCCACCTCAGCCTTCCAAGTAGCTGGAACTACAGATGCATGCCACCACGCCTGGCTAGTTTTTGTGATTTATTGTAGAGATGAGGTCTCACCAAGTTGCCCAGGCTGGTCTCGAACTCCCAGGCTCAGGCAATCCTCTTGCCTCAGCCTCCCAAAGTGCTGGGATTACAGGCTGAGCCACCGCGCCCAGCCTAAATTTTTTATGGGAAAAAAAACATAAATAAAATAAATTATTTAAGAGATTCTATAACTCTTTCTGACTCTTAGCATAGTCATTAACCGATCTTTATATAGTCAGTAATAACTGTATATGTAACATTTTGTGTTTTTAATTTCTTCTCTTGATATTTTGCATGTGTTAATGTTTTTCATAAATCTGCATGGACTACCTTCTGTATCATTTTAAATATAATATCCTACTGGGTGACCTTCCCATAATAAACATGGGTTTTGCTTTTTTGTAGCCAGTGCCCACTTGGTATTGCAGGAAGCAGAATTGAGGTTGCCTTGGTTGAGGAATTACCTTTGTGGGTATTGCTGTGTTGTGATTATGGTAGCTGTGATGATCTGTCTTCTCCTTATTTTATTCCAGGATGGTTTTCTCTAGCAGGAAGTGCGGCCATGTCGGCAGGCCTGAGGAAGTTTTATCAACATTCAAGATATTCCTTGTCATCGTTTGTCTTCATGTCGTTCTGGTTACATCCCTGGAAGGTCTGTTTTTCTGTATTTTTTTCCTGTTTATCTATTTGTGTGTTCTTTTTGTTATTTAGGATCTTTTCATTGTAATGAAATAACATAATATTTACCATTTTAAAGTATACAGTTCATTGGCATGAAGTAGATTCACAATTTTGTGCAACCTCACCACTATCCATTTCTAGAATGTTTTCATCATCTCAAATAAAAACTTGATATCCATTAAACAAAAACTCCCCATTTCCTTCTCCTATCCTCTTTCTAGTAAAGTCTATTTTTTATGTCTCTGCGTTTACCTATTCCAGGTACCTCATACAAGTGGAATCACACAATATTTGTCCTGTGTGTCTGGCTTACTTGACTTATCATGTTTCCGAGCTTCATCCATGTCCTAGCATGTATCCGAATTTCATTCCTTTTTAAAGATGAATAATATTCCATTGTATGGATTTATCACATTTTGTTTATCCATGCATCCATTGATGGACATTGTGAATAATGATGTCATGAATGTGTATGCACAAATATCTATTTGAGTCCCTGCTTTTAATTCTTTGGGTGGAATTGCTGGATCATATGATCACTCTGTTTAATATCTTGAAGAAATGCCAAACTGTTTTTTACATTTTACATCCATTTTACATCCCTACAAGCAAGGTATAAGGATTCCAGTTTCTCCCATGATAACACTTGTTATTTTCTGTCATTTTGGTAATAGGTATGAAGTGGTGTCTCATTGTGGTTTTGATTTGCATTTCCCTAATGATAAGTGATGCTGAGCATCTTTTCATATGGTTATTGGTCATTTGTGTATCTTCTCTGGAAAAATGTCTATTCATGTCCTTTGCTCCTTTTTGGATTGGGTTGTTTTTTGTTGTTGAGTTTTGGAGTTCTTTATATACTCTGGATATTAGTCCCTTATCAGATAAATAATTTGCAAATATTTCCTCCCATTCTGTGGGGTGCTTTTTCACTCTCTTAATAGTGTCATTTCATGCATAAAATTTTTAATTTTGATGAAGTCACATTTATCTATTTTAACTTTTGTTGTCTGTGCTTTGTTGTTATATAAAAGAAATCATTGCCAAATCGAATGTCATAAAGATTTTTCCCTATGGTTTCTTCTAAGAGTTTTATAGTTTTCTCTCTTATGTTTCAGTTCTTTGGTCCATTTAGAGTTATTTTTTTATATAGTGTAAGGTAAGGGTTCAATTTCATTCTTGTGTATGTGAATACCCAGTTTTCCCAGCATCATTTGTTGAAAAGACTATCCTTTCCCCATTGAATTATCTTGGTACCTTTGTCAAAAGTCAGTTGACCATATAGTGAGGATTTATTTCTGGTGTTTGTTTTTAAAAGTAACTATTTGAAGGCGCTATCATATGGAAATTTACAGGCAGAGAGAATCAACCAAATGAAGCAGCATGGTATTTTCAGAAAAAGGGATCTTTAGAAGCTTATGAAACAAGAAGAAAAGGTACCTGAGGAAGAAAGTCAAAAGACCACCAAGACCGGGGCTGCAGTTTTTGTGGCAGCAACTGCCAAAAACAAATATAAAGAATTTTCATCAGGGTTGAAACTAGGAAATGAAGGTTATTTAAGAAGACATTAAGGATGCACACATAAATGCCTTTCTTATTCAGAAGAGGGTGGCAGGACCAAGGAATCTACAGAATTCTCCTAATGGCAAACAATGATTATGTAAACAAACAAAACACACATACAAATACACATACATGACACAGATTAAATGGAATACTTCCCAACAAGCTAAAACTCAATGGGTAATCCTTTCAAAGGTAGGCACTGGAGTATGTTTCAAGAAGCCACCATAATTTAAACAGAGAAATGATAAGAATAGAATGTATACTGATTAATTACAACGTGCCAGGTTCCTATATGCTTGACACATGTCCACTCTTTTAATCTCAGTCAAATCTAGGAAGACGAGATCCTAGTCTTATTCCTATCTTCCAGATCAGGAAGCTGAGGCTCAGAGAGATAAGTAACTTGCCCAAGGCTATTAGCCTCTAGGAAGTGGCAGAGCTGGGCAGAACCCAGTGTTCCCAGTGTTCTGCCTCTAGATTTTGTGCTTGTAACCACAAAACTAAGGTTCTCATACCAGTTGCATCAGAATCCCCTGGAGGGATTGTTGACATCTGGATAACTGGGCCTTTCCCTCAGAGTGTGTGATTCAGTAGGTCTGGGGCAAGACCTGAGAACTGACATCTCTAAAAAGCTCCCAGGTGATGCTGATGCAACTGGTCTAAGGACTGCACTTTGAGAACCAGTGCCTGCACAACTGGTGGAAGACAAATAGGGAGAGAACGCTCCTCCTGATGTATGTCATAGGATACCAATTCTGTTGTGGCCATGTGATGTTCATATAAACTGTGCGCACACATATCATCTCCTTAGGGCATGCAAACATCACTGTGGGATTGGCAGGGCAGAAATCAAAAGTCCCCACTTTACTGATGAGTAAATGTCCCCAGGGATGTTATTGGTGAGGAAGTGGTAGAGCCCAGACTAGATGCTATATCTTCAGTCTCACGTTTCGGTGCTTTTTCCACCGCAGGGGTAGATGAGGAAGGAAAGTGAGACACAAGGGAAAAAATTCATCAGCATGAAAGATGTTCGTTAGAAATAAGTCCTTTTGAAAAATTATATTTTAAAATGATGAAAATTAGGGCAGGTAAAGAGAAAAGGGCAGGGCTCTATAATAAACCTAAGTGGTAGGGAAACACTGAGGGATCGCTTAAGGCAGCTGAATGTATTTCTTGCTCCAGATCTCTGATGAAGTGATGTCTTAAAGTAGCGGTTCTCAAAGTGTGGTTCCAGGCAAGTAGCATCAGCATCACCTGTCTCTCAGGGAAAGTATTTATTCTTGTCATTTAATAATCACTGTCATAGCACTCCCCCATGTTCCGGCTACTGCTGTAAGCCCTCACAGAAGGCTCACTCAATAACGCTTTGAAAAAGGCATTATGATTAGTTCATTTTATAAATGAAGAAACTGAGGCACAGAGGAGGTAAGCAACTTGCCCTAGGTCAAACAGTTAAAAGGTTGCAGAGTTGCATTTCAAACTCAGGCCATCTGGCTTCCAAATTTGTACATTTAAGCCCGTACTACACTGCCTTTCGGCATTCTTAACCCCTCTGCTATGCTAGGCTCAGTTGCCTGGTGATTGCTAATCTGTAGATTAAGGATAAAGGCGGGTTGATCCAAGTGGAGTGATATTGACAACTAATGATTACAACTAGCTACTGATTTCCTTGCTATTTCTCCACTCCCACTGCTTCACTTGATGAACCTTAACATAGACAAACAAATAAAAGGTGGAATCCACAATTGTGAAAATCACTGAATGTTGTTCTGGATCCCCAGGTGGCTCATAGGCACTGTCTCCCCAAACAGCTTTGGACTGGGGCAGGTTCTTTTCAGCTCAGGGTGGCTTGGGCTTGGGCTTGGGCCTTGGTGAAGGCCAGGGGCACTGACCTCCTACATCTACATTGGGTTATCAATTATGCAGTGATTAGTGTCTGCTGTGTGCCCAGCACTACTGCTGCTGAGAGACCATTGTCTCTGACTCTTGGGAGTTTACACTCCAATTGGAGGGACAAGACTGTGACACGGGAGAACCATACAAACTATAAGTAATTCCTAAAGTGTGAGTCAGTGCTCTAGGGCTCTCCCACATGGCCCATGGCCAAATCTGTGGATTAGTCTAGTTCAGTGCTAAGTCCTCTCTAGCAGATGCTAATTGGTGGCCTGCCCATATCCCCTTGGCCCACCCCGGATGTCACCTGCACACAGTTCCCATGGATGCTGATGGCTTTTGTGGCTCTCTGAGAATGATCTGTGCCCACGAGAGTGTGCTTGGTCTGTGCACGGGACAAGCCAGAGGTGCTAGGGTGTTAACACCCAAAAACAGTGAGGGATGGGAGTTGGTGTTTAAATGTGCCAGCTTCCTTGTCCCTTGCTGGCATAATGCTGAGGTGTGTTCTGCACCTCTCCCAGAGTTCTCCAGTTGGGTTGTGCCCCAGTTGCCCATAGTAGTCACCTCTCAGTGATATACCCATTACTGACTTTACTCCCTTCCCTGTCTCACTTAAATACTCCCTCCCTCAGCTCCTAGGACAGATCTCCATTTGGAAATACACAGCTTCCAAAGTTTAACCCAATATTACCACCTCTGTAAAACCTTCCCTGACCTCAGAAAAACTAAATCTCTCTCCCAATGCTCCCTTTTCTCTTTATCCATGCCCACTGATAATGATCACTCTGTGTCAGGCTCATAGTGGGCTTCCTTTGCACCATGAGTCCTGTCAGTGCTGGGGAGAATGAAGGGTTAGCAAGGTGAAGTTCACAAACAGGAGGAAAACTGATGAGTACTGAGAGCCTGCTCTGGTCCAGGCCCTTCTAGATGCTTTATGTACATTATCTCATTTAGTCCTCACAAAAACTCTTCAGTGTTTTTCATCTGGTTTATAGATGAAGAAACTGAGTGTCAAGGAAACTAAGTCAGTTACCCAGAGTCATACAGTTAGGAAGATTCCCCATCAGAGTCTGTAGGCTGTACTATTCACACTACACCAGACTGCCTAGGGTGCCCTCAGTAAGAATCTGAGGACTGAATGAACTAAGACTCAGGGAGAAAACAGAGAGGGAACCTGGGGTAAATCATTGAAGAGCAGTTACTCTCCTGGGCTCTAGGGGATCTGGACTGTAAACACAGTAGCTTCACCCTGGAAGCCTAAGAGATGACTCAGTAGCTCTTGACAGCAGGGAGAGGTGGGACTGACACTCTCTTGTTAGGCCACTAGCCAACAGAGAGAATCCTTAGACCTTAATGCTTTCAGTTATGTAATTTAGTGCCATTTGAAGGAACTCATTCTTGGTCTACCAGAAGCCCAAATGGGCTTTGGCAGGTGACTATGCTTACCTCTAGCCTCCCGCTCTCTTTGGCTGTGCCAGTGCCTTCTGTTGTCTTCAAAGGAGGTCTTCTTTTAGG